AAACCATAGCACCTTTCACTCACCAAACATGAATCCTTAAAAGTGTTTTTTACTTACTTGGACATGTCCAAGAGTTGATCAAGGTCAACACCTCGGAAGGTGTACTTCCTGAAGGTACGCTTCTTCTTTACCTCAACTTCTGCCTGTAAACAAGTAAAACAAAATATAATCAATCAAATATCGATGTGTGGATGACACTATCCAACTTGCCTTTCACATCCGGGTGTACAACATGTTGGTTATCTGCTCTGGTCAGTTAATTTCAAACATTATTTTGAAGCAGTTTACAACTTATTTATAAAAGCAATACTTCAATTTTTTCATAAATCAACCGAGACTCTATGAGTTATGTTGGACAGGTCACAGTACTATAAAGGAAAATATTTATTAGAGTTCATGCTATTTGATGCACACTTTTCAAAGGCAAATGAGCAGTAGGGGCGCTGGTCCAAGAATGAGGATCATCCGCATGAACGCCGTTATCCTTGTCTATGAGGACAAAATGCGTCCCCAAAAAAGGATCATCCGCATTTTTATCAAACGTGTTTCTGCGGGTTTTGGGTTCCTGATCCGCGCGCTGGCGATGCAAAAAATGGATTCCGCGTAATAAAAATACCCCCCCAGTTCATTGTCTACTTTTATGGGTTGCCGGTCTCCCCGAGGATTTACCGCTCATAACGTGAAAGTCTCAGTACAAAGTCAACGTAAAATTAAGCAAGAAAATCATCAGGGAACCTGTTTTTTCACATTGCCAACACGTGGATCGGAAATCAGATTCGTCAGTGAAAATGCAGAAGATCCTTATTACGCAGACGCATCTGTCCGTGTATACAAGACGATCCTAGTTTGTGGGGAATGATAGTTATTCCTTGGACTAGCGCCCCTACTGATAGGATTATAATTCTGTGAAATATCTGGTAGGCCTACACAATCATGACGACACGACCCACCATGTCCATGAATACATTTTCTCAATTTCTGGGCACACACCAATTTTTGAGTCTACTCTAAACTCTTAAGAACATGACAAATAACAAAAGACCAAGTATAATTGGAACACATAGTCTTATCAATTTCGAGTAGAGTCATATGGTATTCTTTATCAGACAGCGTCCGGAACAATTGCCAACCAATGGCGACTTGTTATTATCGTTGGTCCGATGTACTCGAATCCGGGTAGTGTTTTGAGGCACCTGAAAATGTATCTACGGAGCTTCATCATATCATCGCAATTTCATCTTCATATTTTTCCTTTTATACACTCCCATAATCTTAATTATACAATCTAAATATAACAATGAATAGTGGCGTAACTTCAAATTCTTAAAATGTAATTTCTAGGCATGGATGTTTAAGGATTTAAATTTCAACTCTGTTTCATCCCTACCATGTTTGCGATTACGAGACACGAAAAGAAAGAATGATGAGCATTTGTCGCCCTCTGTTGTTGAAAATAACCAATGAATAGGCCTATATTCTAGTTCAGTGGGTGCAATCCGTATCTCTATGGTGCAATCAGGCGCGTACACAGGGGGGGGGGGGGGGGGGGGGGGGGGGGGGGAGAGGGGGGGGGGGGGGGGGGGGGGGGGGGGGGGGGGGGGGGGGGGGGGGGGGGGGGGGGGTGGGGGGGGGGGTTTGGGGGGTTTGGGGGTTAAACTTAAACCCCCCCCCCTTTGGTAATTTTTTGTGTGTAAACCCCCCCTAAATTTTTTTTTTTTTTTTTTATACCTAAAAAAAAAATTGACCTAAAAAGCTGACCTTACTCCCCCCCAACGAGCAAAATGTCAAATTTTTCAAATTTCGAGACCAAAAAAAAAAAAACGTGTCTCCTCTTACCCCCCCCCCCCGCTTATTCAGCGGTCGGCTGAGTCGTTGCGATTTTTTTGGGACAAAAAAAAGAAAAAGTGACCTCTTACCCCCCCCCCCCCCCCCCCCCCCCCCCCCCCGCTTATTCAGCGGCTTGCTGAGTCGTTGCGAAATTTTCGGTCCGATTTATAAATGTTAAACCCCCCCCCCCCTTGAAAAATCCTGCGTACGCGCCTGGGTGCAATCATTTTGTCTATGGTGCCTTCTTGCAAAATATAAATAGAAAATTGAAATCTAGAAATATCTGTCAATAATCAGTTTTGAGAGAGAGAGAGGGAGCAGGGCCGTAGCCAGAGTTTGATATTTATTTATTTATTTATTCCGTTTTATTTAAACATGGTAGCCCCGTCAGTAATCACAGTACTGTTTTCCAGGAGGGGGCCCTGTAAACAATGCAACATAATTATGAAGATACAAACTACTTGAACAATATAAACATCATCGAAAACATCAATACATAGTAACATATGACAGAAAATTAATAAAGAATAAGAGTGAATAATGAAACAAAGCCGTAGTATAAGAATAATAAATTTCAATGAGCAATTTCAAATAAAATTTTACTCTGTCTGTTCAGATTTTAACAAATTATTATATTGAGAAATTTATAAAGAAAGGCAAATCTATCTATGTTTGGGGGGCACATACATGTAAGTTGATCGACGTCCTGGGGAGGGGTCTACAAAAAGTCAACCGATCTGAGGGGGGGGGGGGGGAGGGAGGAGAGAGAGAGGGAGGGAGGGAGTTACGGAGATCGAGAGAGAGAGAGAGCGAGAGTGAAAGAGAAAGAATTAAACTACAGTTTCACAATTATTATGCTCGAACGAAGCAAATATATTACGTGGACACCTGAAAGTGTAAAATCATGACAATTTCAAAATTCGTGAATGGATTTTAGATCCTAGGGCAATTAAAAGTGATTAGAATTATGTATTCATGTATCAACTTTTCCTTCAGGTCGGTTGTTTAAAATAAATTAAAACAAATAATTAAAGATAACAGAAAATACAAAAACAACAACAACAACAACAAACAAAAAGGCAGGGTTGTTTTATTTTATACATATCTAAAATAGAAGGAATATTTCAAACTTATAGACACCTACCGCTGTTTTCAAAGGCTTGAGAGGAAATGGTACTATATAGGGCGCAGCGCCCCTAATTATATTCAATATAACAACACGTAGGCTTACTCAGGCGCGGATCCTGGGGGGCCGAGCGGGCCTTGCCCCCCCCCCCTGGCCAAAAAAAAACACGCCCCCCCCAGGCCAAAAAAAAGTATAAAAACCCCAGAAATTTACCCTTTTTTTTGGCTCAAGGAGGGGGGGGGGGGTGTTGAGTAAAAAGAAAGTGCTCACTATGCCACCCTCACCCCCCCCCCCCCACTGAGCGAAATATCGGCCGGCACGATTTTCAAAGTTCAGCACACTAAATTTCAGATTGATTTCAAATTGTGGCCTCCCCCCTCAGAAATCCTGGATCCGCGCCTGAGCTTACTATATAGGACCTCTTTGATCAAACTATGATAAAATGTTACTAAAGAAAGTTGGTTACTGTGTTCAGATGCCTTGTACCTATGAAATGCAGTATTTGTGTATTCCGCTTTGTTGAAAGTGATATAGGTTTTGACATTACCCTCTGAAGAGTATATGTTATCTGAAATGTGCATTTCTCCCCCCCCCAAAAAAAAAAAAGAAAAAAAAAGAAAACAGCATTGCCAATATCATAAAATTTCAAATATTTGTTTGCATGCTTGGGCAACATAATGAGCAACTATATCTATTTTGCTCTTGCTGAATGAGCACTAATTTTTCTTTTTCTTTCAGTGCTCCCGGAATTTCGAAAATCGCGCCGGCCGATAATATTTCGCTCAGTTAGGGGGGGGGGGATGGGGGTGGAGGGGGGCATAGTGAGCACTTTACTCAACACCCCCCCCCCCCTTGAGCAAAAAAAGAGGTAAATTCTGGTCCCATTTTTTTTTACAACTTTTTTTTTAGGCCGGGAGGGGGGGGGGGGGGGGGGGGGGGTAAGGCCCGCCTGGCCCCTCTGGATCCGCGTCTGTACTTATCCACTTTACTTTCTCCCCCCCCTTCTCTCTCTCTCTCTCTCTCTCTCTCTCCTCTCTCTCTCTATATATATATATATATACGAACGCAAAAATAATGAAGAACATCATACCTTGAATCCTACAGTTTTTATGAGGTCACGAATTTTCGACGGACATTACGTCTTTATCCTAATATAAACATGTATTATACATGACTGTATTCTCCATTTCTAATATCACACCTCTCCCTACGAAAGTGGCATTGTAGCAAAATTATTGGCATGTAAACACGCATTGCTTCTTGCATTAATAGGGGAGACCGAGGACAATTGTAAAACTTTTTTTTCCTCCAAATCTGGCATATAAACTTTATTTGAATACTTATATGAAATGAAAAATGCATATCTTGGCTTGAAATATGATTAGGTTTGTGTTAAGTGAAACAAGTTATTTTGAAGCCATTATCATTTCAAATCCGGAAGTCAAGTGTTACAATAGTTGAAGAGGTTATTCTTGCCTTTCCAAAGGGTGCAGTCAACATGGACGTATCCAGCCGGCAGCGAGGGTGGGGGCCCAATATGTGAGAAAATATTTAGCGAGCCGGCGAATGAGCAGGGGGGGGGGGGGTTAATGTGAAAAAAAGAGAAATAAAATTTAAAGTAAAAAGTAAAAAGAACTGGAAAAAACGTCTCAAGAAAGAAAAAAAAATGAATGTTACAATTGGCTTAAAAAAAAAAAATCAACAACAAAATATCAAATCAAATTTTATTTTCGATAGCATGCAGATATATCTATTTACAACCCCCAACAATCCCCACTGATTTTCCGCGGGTCCTGCTAGTAATCTTATATTCCATTAACATTATTGGATCTTGACCTCTGGCTTGAGAGTCTAGTGTTTGTTCAATGATAGCTGCATTGAATAGAGGGTCATATCATTTATATGGAATGGAAAACCAACAAAAATTATTATACACTGTGCAACGATCTCTCGACCCCCCCCCCCCAGTAAAATGGTTTATTATCCAATTCATCTCTTTTGTGCTCTATCCAAAGTCCTCGAGAAGCTTGAACTCCTCACATCGATAAACAAAAATCTTGAATAGTGTCAACAGAGTAGAATTCCTTGTATATAAATATCTCGAGTTCAATACCACGATAACCTAGATTCTTTGGCATTTTTTCATCTGGTTTGAGTGTCGGGCTTTTGTGGCGGGAATCTTCCATGCCCATATGCGTGAGACAGAACAGTTTTGCCATATAGCAGGTGAGTATTCATTTCGACTATAATAATATATAGATTGCCGAATTGTGTTCAAACACTTCGGATTAATAAAGACAAATTGGTAATAAATTCCGTGTTTGGCCTTTTAAAACGAAGAAGAATAACGCTTTCGGATCTAGCACAAAAATGCACAGTGTAGCCCTTTCGGCTTTTCAAACCTTGTCGTGTGAGTAGTGTATTATTAAAGGGGGCCTATAATACTCATCTGCAGTAAAGACTTAGCTGTTTGCCAATTTTATGCATAGTAATGGGACAAAAGTTTTATTTGACAACTTTCTTATTTGCCAAAGGCTTGTCGTACAAATTTAGAACCCCTACATAATGGCATAAGTTTTTAGTTTGATGAATAAAGATGCTTTGTAGCAATCAATGGACGTGAACTCCTGAATTGATTCATTATTCAGATTCCATAGATTAATCTCTTCATGTATATAAATTATAAGAAGCAACTGATCTCGAGGATTTAACTTTTATCTGTTTGACATGTGACATTAGGGACTTTTAGATTTGCACGAAGACAATGTGGATTGATATACGGTCGACGTCCTTTTAATGCACTGCCTTGAATGGACGTCACACGTCTCAGTCCACGCAAATCTAAACGTCCCTACTGTCATCTTGTTGATAACTTGTATAAAGTTTCTATCTTGTTAAAGGTAATACAAAGTTTTGGTATGGGGTCATGAATTTGGTTCAAATGAACATATTGGACGCATATGCGGTCCTACAATATTCAGTGATCGTTGTCGCGGATGAAATTGAGTCTAAAGTTATGAAATTGTAAATAATAAACTCTTTATGTTGTATAGCTCCCTCTCAAGGTCAAGATATAAATTAAGCTATAAAACAATTTTTCTTGACTAAAATCTACCGATTAGTTGTTCCCGGTCGGAAATTATATATCACAACTACATATTCTGAGATTTTCATGGTCGCAGCTACTTGTACGGCCGTAGGCGCTATTTGAAATTTATCAAAATTTACCGGGAGCACCGGTAAATTTGTATATTCAATTTTTCTCGAAAGCAGAAGTAGTTTAGGGGCTAAATTTTCTAGTGTTTATAATACATCCACAGGGGCATCCAAATATATCAAAATTGTAAAGAATCACTATCCACGCAATTTTCAAAATTTCCCAAAACTTTGTATTACCTTTAATAACTTTACATTTTGTTTAATAGAGAGCATCTTCATATCCGATTGAGGACTACATAACAGCCGGAAGAAAGCGTTTCCAAATTTGATTGAGGCGCGTAACCATCTAAGCATAACAACATGGGTGTTTTAGGAATCGCCATGTCAACGGCAGCTTGCCAGGTAAAGTAACATCCTTAAAAAAAAAAGTTTTAGGGATAGATTCAACGAAATCATTTCAATACAATAGAAAGAAGAATGTGAAGGCCTATTTATCGAGTTTTCATCATGAATAATATTGTCTAAATCTAGATAGATTGATCGGAGTGGAATACCCTATATATCGCCTACCCCAAAATACAAATACTGGACCGACGGTATAAAACACAAAATATATAGGTCATATATACATTCATCATCAATAGTGATCTGTCAGTTCATGACAGGTTCAGTGATCATTAAAAATTCCATATCAAGTGTCTCTCCAAGCCCCATCTTTATGCCAAAAATCGGTCGGGTTTGTGTCGGCTTGACGGTGTGACTGCGGTATAACGCCGCGGTGAACGCCGTTATGATTAATAAGTTTTGTCGGGGGGGGGGGGTATGTTTGAAGAGAATACAACTGATGTCTATGTATTAAAGATGCTATATGCGTCTATAATGTTGACATTATCACGGAATCGATCAATCATTTTGACGATTATCGAAATATCAACGACTTATTTTATTGCCGCACATCTTCTTTTGCCCAGACTCTAGTTATTAATTCTACCACTAATGCTCCTTCGAAGTGAACTTTGAACTTATGAAGAGTAAGAGACACAGTACGTTAATCATGTACAGCGTGAGTCAAAAAAAGTTTACACCATTATTTAAAAAACATCTATAAACAGCACTCCAGCAAACAATGCCTCATGTTCATCCAAACGTGAACACATACCGGCGTACCGCACAAAAATTATACCAAGTGATTCGGGATAAAACACCCTTTCATCAAATGTATAATAATCTACTGTTCATAGATGATTTTTTTTAAATAATTAGCAATTTTCTAGGTGTAATTTTTTTTTTGACTAACACGCGTACGGTATATCTCCTCCTTGCACCCTTTAATTATTATCGCAAATTTAATATCATTCATAGTGTCGGATCTGGGGGAGGCGGAAACTCGAATTTTTAGCAAACCCTCATTAGGCCTACATCCAAGAAAACATACACCCCTCCAGAAATTTCGTTCTTGTACCCCACCCCTACGATACAAAAACCCTCTTATATTTTCTCTCTTACTTTCTTATTGACCCTATTTATCACCTGGAAAATATCAGTAAAAACCTAAAACCTTTTTAGAACCCTTGTTTTTTCTTTTGTACCTGTGAACTTTCCAGTTACTCTGTCAGGTTTAATAATGATGATACTTCATTGGTCACCATTTACATCTTGCATGCAGGTGCTGGGTTTTGCTTGGTATGGGCCTCTCTTTGGTTCGGTATGGGTCAGAAATTGTGGCCGAAGAAAGGAAGACATTGACCGATATGGCAACAGTCGTTGGATCATGCTCGTTCCTGCTCTGTCCAAGATAGGATCATCAATCATCATTGGACATGTGCTAAAGTACGTGGGTTATAATGAAAATAATAATAATAATAATAGTAATAATAGTAATAGCAATGATAATAATAATAATAATAATAATAATAATAATAATAATAATAACATAATAATAATAATAATAATAATAATAATAATAATAATAATAATAATAATAATATAATAATAATGATAATTATAATAATATTATTATTATCATATATTAGCATTAGTATTATGATATTGATAATAATAATCACTTTAAATAATTGTTTGTCACATAATAACAAGAATTTAATATGCTCTTTACTTTGGAAATAAACATATTACAGAAAACTCTAACATTATTGCAAGAAAAGATATTGTTAGGTAGTCAGGGCTTAAGAGTTTCCCCACAGAGCAGAAGCTGATCTATGAAGCAATGTTTTTTTTGGTGTACAGCCAGAAAATGTTAAAGTTATTCCTCTCTAGTTTTAACCTGCTCTGGCTTCTTGAATTATTATGCTTTTCGGTACGAAATCAACTTACAAACAATATGGTATATGTAGACCAATATTTAATAAAGCAATAACGACTGATAACAAAATACAGTGTGGAGCCACCCAAAGTCAAAGCATTAGGCCTATTTAATGATAATAGTAATATTCTGCTTGATATATAGCGCTCAATACAAAGTTTACATTAAGCGCTTTAAAGATGTACTACACTGTCGCTCATAAAGTTGGAATATTTTGTTTTATCCCAACTTATGGAATTATTTTAAAAACAATTTAAAAATAATAGATCTAGATAATAGTATACATTCTCAGATTTTATTGAATAATAATTTGATAATGTTTGTTTTGCGTGAAAATTGTGTATGCTACTATGCTTATCAACAAGGGGACCTACGCCCTTAAGTCATAAATGACAGTAATGAAGATTAATGCCCCCACAAAGGGAGCCATAATGCATGGCTGTCCAGAGGATTTTTTTATGTTGGGAACCAAGGTAAAATGCAAAAAAATTATTGAAAATTTATTGCATTTTCTGTTTTTTTTTTAAATTTATGGAAACTGCACCCTACCCTAGTCCCCACTGCGTACAGTCTTGGTTCAGTGACAAAACAATGACCTCGTAACTGTGAGGCCCCAGGATCAAAACCGTGTCGATGTGCTATATTAGTGCCCTTTTGTGGGGCATTAATCCTCATTACTGTCATTTATGACTTAAGGGCGTAGTTCCCCTAGTTGATAAGCATAGTAGCATACACCTGCTTTAGAAGTCACACAAAACACACATTGTCAAATTATTATTCAATAAAATCTGAGAATGTATACTATTATCTAGATCTATTATTTTTCAATTATTTTTAAAATAATTCCATAAATTGGGGTAAAACAAAAATATTCAAACTTTATGAGCGACAGTGTATTATGGCTTGGGTGGCCGATGAGTTGTGTTTTCATACAATGATAGGATCTTTTCTCGTTTCTTCCCGTTTTCATTCATCAGGGACCATCTGGGCGTGACGACTGTGCCTGATGCCTGTAAGATGGTTTTGCCCTGTCAGTCATCATCGCACTTTACAGTGCATGCCACTCCCCTTTCATAGGGGAGGGCTACCAACATACTTGGTCAATGCTGGATACGATGCAGTTTGTACTGTGTTTACTGCCGTCCTGGTAACTCGTTATTAAGCCGGATTTGAAACCAATACGGGCCAGAGAAAATGGTTATGATTGTGATCTAGCTAGGCGGATCCAGGGCAACTGCTAAAGAGTGGAGAGAATTTCCTGTCAGTAATGTTTCATTTTTGTGGCCTTATTATCGGCAAAACAGTAAAATCGATGACAATCTTCTTTCACCTACTGATGAGAAATGAATTAGTTTGAATTAATTTGACGGCCGGTTTTTACCCCCTTCGGGAAATTTAAATATCTGAGAATACTTTTTTGCTAATAAATATTTTCATTAGTTTTTTTTCTTCTCCATGGTTATTATGAAATTTTGGTTAAACTTGTCGGCAAATTGTGTCCGGCTCTTCTCTTTTCAAATAGTCAATATGAGGACAATAGGCCTACAATCATGTACTTTTCAGTTTAATCAACTAAAAACTCATATTTCACTCAGAATTGATAAATAAATTATTTAAAAATACAAGAGTTTTTACATGTACCAATTTTATATACTTTAAAACAAAGATTTGATATTGGACAATCAAAAGGAAAAGAAGACATGAAAATCCTCTTTCATAAAGTAATCATTGAGAGAGAGAGAGAGAGAGAGAGAGAGAGAGAGGATGGGAATGAAGAGAGAAGAGAGTGAAAGGTAGGGGATGGAGAAGGAGGACAGAGAGAGAGAGACAGACAGACAAAGAAGAGAAATATTTCGGATGGGAGAGGGGTGGAGGGGTAGTAAGGAGAAAGAAGAGAGAGAGAGAGAGAGAGAGAGAGAAAGAAAGAATAGAAAGGTTGTGGAGAATGAAGGGTTAGGAGGAACAGGGATGTTGTTCTCATCTTGATTATTTACTAACATAATGAAATATTGGGAAATCTAACATAGCCTCAAAATCGAGTGAAACACACTTAGCAAGAAAATGGAGCTTAGTTTGTTGAGGAAAAGAAATAATCGCAATCATCTTTCTGAATAATTCTTATCGTATACAATTGCAAATGTTGCTCGTCAAATGTAAACAGCAATTTTACAACATCGCGTGCAGTGTATAATATATTCCGTCATGTCTGGGTTTTTAACAGTGTCGCGCCTTCGTGCAAACAATTTGCGAACGTAGCAATGGACGGAAAATTTTCAAATCTTAAAAGCAAATATACACGGTATTATGTTCTCATGATTCAGGATGCAGACTACTGCTTTTTAATAGCATTTTCTTGTTCTCAAAAGTTAAATAGAAAATTCGCAGAAAAGTCAGAACCTTATATTGATTGTTCATTAATAATTGCAGGAGCATGGTAAATGTCACTTATTAGCTAGGTATACTTCTGTTGATGAATCCACCCCAGCTTTCCTCTGTTCTACCCCTAAAATAAGTATTTTGGCGATACCCATCCTCGCCCCCACAGAGCGCAAAAAAAGACTTGCAAAATAATATAGAGATTACATCGCTTAAAAGCTCATATCAGTTTGTGGGAGCATTCTTCTGTAAGTTCTGTGGCTGGATATGCCAATGGCCCGGCCCACGGAGGAGGGGGGGGGGGGATTAATGCAGTCTACAGCACGCATAATATCATCTTTAAATAGTACGCCGCCGCCGCCGCCGCCCCCCCCTTCACGATTATACGCCCGACTGTTCAATAAATACACGATAATTGCATGGCTTTGCCCCGTTAAATGGTCAACACAAATACAGAAAATGTAACGTAACAATAATATTTTGGTCTTATTTACCCAGGGTATATAGCCACATCAGTATTAGACACCGCACTTCAACTACCCCCTCTATTGTAGACTTCTTAACAAACATCTGTGATTATAATTATCATTTTCATGTTTGTACATGTATTTAGTTTTTTTGCTGATAAACGCTGATCATTCTCCTTTTTCTATTCTTCATTCTTCCATCCTCTCCGCTTTCATACTTTCTCTCCTTACTATCCTCCAACTCACCAAAGTAATGTTTACAATTTTTATTATATACAAAAATTCATGTCAGAATGAAATATCCTTTAAATGCTATGTTTTTTAAAAATCAAATGTAATTGTCTTTATGATAATAATTGGAATAATGTATCGATTATTTTGTAAAATCACAACCATAACCATTTTACGCAGCCAGGGGGAGGGGGGGGGGGGGCTTTTGAGGACTACTTTGGTCTGTTTTTGCATGGAGTTAGGCTAGTAACTCCATGTTTTTGCATTAGGATTTCCTTTCTGTCATTACCCATTGTCGATGGTTCTCCACGTATTTATTTTATCTGCTACATCTGTGTATAATTCCCTCCTCAACTAAAATTGTTTGTCTATAGTAATATCATTGTGCAACAGTAAAGCCTAATATTCCTGAACTTAATTATGCTCCTTTGAATGTATATATCCTTAAATATTTAATGGCATTGTCTTGATTATTTTGATGACTAGGTATACTTGTCCGCGGTACATTTTTCTGAATCTTTTATAACATTGCTGTGTGATGTTATACCATTGTTATTTGTGTTATATTGCTTTTGTATTTTGATGATGGTATATATTACAATTACAAATTGTAAATTGCTAATTTCTTTATAAATCTAACAGTCATCCGCCTATATATAAACAACAACACAACTAATAAACAACAACAACAAATAAAAAACAACAACATAACAACAACATCAATGATGCTATACCTGCGGGCCCTGCAATTATTATTTCCGGCATTAATTGCCAGGTACCTATATTCAAATTCAATAACTGGGCCGATCGAGAGGGAGTTAAGATCTAGAGAAGGTTGAGTTCTGGTAATGTTGAAAAAAACATTGGACAAAACAACCTGTATACAACGATGCATAAGCACCGAGCAAGGTAAGGGTATTGAACCCGGACATCTCGTATGTGAGTCGGAAACCTTCGCGGCTCTCCCACACTTCCGATTGTTTCAATTAATATAATTACCCCAATACTTTAAAATACACATCTCGACATCTCGTAAATGACGTACTCTCGCACAAGATTTTAGTCATCACCATTTTGATGGCGTGATTGCCCACGCACCTCGTCCTACTATAATACGTTGCAAAGTGTTTACAAAGGTATACCCTTTTAAACCATTCATGCTCAAAATTGACTTCCCATTATTTCAATCAGTGCTTTAAGTTGATGCTCAATTAGATCTTAATTGTAATAAGAAACCGTCCGCTCAATGCCCGATGTGTCACGACTGTGTTTTCCTTCACATCAGCTCTGTTGATTGTTTATAATTAACGATAAATGAGATTGAGTCGTATGAACGTGATTTCAGTGCCCTTTTTTTTTAATGTGCGTATAGGCCTATAAACGCGATGACAACACAACAAAGCTAGCAATTTCAGTCCTGCAGTTTCAGTTAATTATTTGCAAAGCTTTTTTCATTATATGCTAAGGTAGGAGGCCGTGTTCCACTACATCACAACTCTATCACCCCCTCTATCCCACTTTCTCCACTCTCTCTGTCTCTGTGTCTGTCTCTCTCGCTCTCAATCCCTACTTGATGACCAACCCAACACACAAAATCATCTCTTTCTAAAATAGATGTTAATGAGCTTTATTATCAACACAAACATTGCCCTTACCTCTCGGTCTAGTAATGAACGTTACCTATACTAAAGAAAAAAGATCATTAGGTTTATGATTAAGCTTTTGTTCCAATCCAATCCTAATATAAAATCGGTTTGACTAACATTAAAATGAGAGGGGGAGGGGGATTTCGAACGTATAATCTATAAACGTATTGATTATGGTTAGTTTGCGAGCAGCTCACCACTCTGTCTTCAAGAACAAAAAATCAATCAAATTCCAATCAAATACAAAAAAATGCTCATCTTTTCTTGTTTCTTGATGAAAAACATGTATATTTCATGGAGGGGATTGTTTGATATAACGATAGAGTATTTGTGATTATTATAGGCCACATAAAAGATTAAAATATTTTCTTCAAATAAAATTGGACTATTGGTGAATTTTAGCACACAATAACGAAGAGCTACTCGAAAAGGGAAATCACAGAATAATAATTTGTGTTTGACAGATGACAAATTTGAATATTATTGTATAACTTTCTTCATCCTTAAATGAATTTTACTCCAACTTTCATTGATCTATTCTGACCCCTCCCCCCCCCCCCCCTACGTTTGTAAAAGCAAATTTTATAGCCAGGGTGGATTTTCCATAAATAATGTGACGTCAAAATCATTATTATCTTCAAACTTAACATTTTAAGCATCTTTTGTTAAGTCAGAGCCCCGTATTATATATGAAGAGTTAATGTTGATTGTAACTTTTTTGCGATTGAACTTGCGATTGATTGGAGGACTTGCGATTGATTAGGATCAATCAACTCGAAGATGGGGCCTAGGAAAAAAAATCTGAAAGCTATTTTTTTTCTTGAATCAAGAAATAAATAGAAATTAAAATAACATTTCAATGGTACTACAACTGTATAAAAGTCAGAGCTCAGAGTTGTGAATATTAGATATGTAGAGTTGCCCAGTGGATAAGTCTGCGGACTGTGAACCACGTACTAGGCACGGTTCGAACAGTGGCGTAGACAGGTTCGTACACCTGGGGGGGGGATGACTCAAGGGCGGATCTAGCTTTTGCTAAGGGGGGGGTTGACCAAAATAATGACGATGCGGAGCATCGTCCACGAGCCGCGAAGCGGCGAGCCGATTTTTTTTTGGGTGTTTTATTTGAACCCCGTAAGTGATGTTTTCCTGGCATCTATTAACACAATGGAGACCATAAAAAGCAGTGCATGATAACGTCTTTTTAAATCAAGTAACAGTTAAATACACAGTTATATCCAGAGTTATCATGTGTTTGTTAAGTTACCAGATGAGTTGAATATCTTCTCACAATATTTGCACTTGAAAGGGTTTCTCTCCAGCGTGCGTTCTTTTTTCTTTCTTTTTTTCTTTTTTT